ATCATTCTGATAATTGAATAATTAGTTGAATTAATACTTTAACTCTATACATTAACAAAAATATTTTTACTAATTTAATATTTATATTATATTATATTTAATATTTATATTTATATTATATTTAATATTTTTCTTAAATATTTAAGAAAAATTACTATTAACGACTTCTAAAATTAAAATTTATATATTCTCCACAATCTTCAAAAATGTTCAAAAAATGTAATTTGAAAAAATGTTATGTTCCAGCTACAGATTTACCAAAGTTGCCGTGGATCCTCAAGTGAAGGCGTTGGATGGCAAGGCCTACGACATTCTGTATGTCGGGACAGGTGAGTTACAACAATTGTGTGTACCGCAACTAACAAAAGCACGGATTTAATTATGATAATTTCATAATTATGCATAGACGACGGCCGAGTTCTCAAAGCGCTCAACACTCGTGCACCGGATTCACTGAGCAATGTTAGCCAGGTCATCGTAAGCGACGTTCAAGTGCTGAAGTATGGTAAGCAGTACTCGAAAATTTCCACGACTTTTTCTTTTTTTAACGTCTGAATAAAACGCTCGGAGCTTCGTGAAATTCGACGTTCGATCGTGCATGTCCGATAAGCATCAATCCAATTACACGATGCAAAATAGGAAATTTCGAAGATGGATCCTGCATCCAAATTTTAATTTTCAAGAATTTTAATTTACGTTTCGTTCATTTTTTTTCTTTTTTTGAGAAGAAAAAAAACAAGATGGAATTGTTCATTAAGATTTTATCATTTGAAATTAATTTTCTTAATTATATAATTTATTATTTATAGGATATTTGTCAAATTTTAATAAACTATTTTTATTTATAGCTACATTCTTCACGAATTTAAAATTTAAAAAAATAATTACGAATACGTATATTATTTGAATTAAATGAAAAATATAAAAAATAATAAGAAAGATGATAATATGAACATAGCTCTAAATTTTTAGAAACGAATAATTGTTCAACGAATAATTAGATATTTCAATCAATAAAATTCAAAAAATTGAATATTAATAAGATAAAGATAGATTTTCAGACCTGACAAAAAGGTACACACTTACAATTAATTTACCAAAAGAAAATAATATTTTTTTTCAATTTCTATATTATCTATATCTATAAGTAACTAAACCAAATTAATTAATACTATAATAAACGCAATAGCATATAAATATTTCTTTCAATTATTGCCAAAAATAATTATACTTTTATGCAATTATTTTAATTAGTTATCTACCTTAAAAAAATAGATCTTCTTCTGAAGAAAGATTGAGAGACACTGCTCCATCCCCTTTCGCACGTTTAATCCCTACACGAGAATTAAAGTGTTCAATTCCGTTCACGTGCAGGACAAGCGATCAAGGATCTGTTGGTGGTCCACCTGGCCGGCGAGGCGAGCAAGTTGGTCGTGTTTGCTGACTCCGAAATTCGCGCGGTACCACTGCACCATTGCGATGCCCCTGCGGCGGCCACCTGCGCGTCTTGCGTCGGTCTTCAGGATCCTCACTGTGCCTGGGACGCGACCAAGAATCTGTGTGTGGCCGTGTCGACGAAACTGCACGACAGCGACGCCGACAAAACCCTGTTCCAGGACATTGTGAACGGGAGACACAAAGGATGCGGCTACGAGCCAGGTAATTCTCGTTTATGTAAACTCGACTTAGTAGGGTTGAAACGTTTCGAGGCTCGATTACCGACGATCATTATGAAACGTTATCGACCGCGCGTCTCTGCCGACATTATAAAGGTCGGTATTGTCGTTCTCGCTTGGAATACCTATTCTTTTCGTTTTTCGAATGAATAAACGCTGTTGGTTTCTTTCTTTTTCCTTCTTCTTCTTCTTCTTCTTCTTCTTCTTTCTATTTATTTTTTCTTTTTTCTTTTTTTTTTTTTTTATTTTCCCGTGA